CAGGCAAATGGATGACACTAGAAGAAACCATCCTGAGTGAGGTAACCCAGTCACAAAAAGAGAAACATGGCATGTACTCTCTCATATATGGATTTTAGACATAGATCTGGGGAGTGCCAGCCTACAATCCTATGGCCAGAGAGTCTGGGAAACAGAAACTACATTTAGTGGCTGGTTAAGTACTGAGCTGAACTCAAGAAAGCCAGTATCAGAGAGGGAGGACTGATGATCAAAGGGATTAAGACTGGGCTGGTTTAACCCCCAGAAACAGCTGACCAGACAAAGGTTAACTCCTAGAATCCCAGGCATCAGCCTGGGAATCCAGCATGGGACTGATCAAGACCCCCTGAATCTGGGTGTCAGTGAGGAGGCCTAGGTAATCTATTGAGCCTTGGGCAGCAGATCAGTACCCATACCAAGTATACACACGGACTTTGGACTCCCATAGAACAATGTGAGGTGCACTCTCACCCTGAACTCTTGGGAAAAGGTCTAGGCCCTGCCCTATATGAAATGACAGACTATGGACACCCCCATGGAGGGCCTCACCCTCCCTGGGGGAATGAGGGGATAACGGGGGGGGATGCGGGGAGGGCACGGGAGGAGGGGAGGGAAAGGGAGAGGGACCTCGTACTGACTTGTGAAGCAACCTTGTTTCTTATCTAAATTTAAAATGGAAAATAAAAAATATTAATAAAAAAAAAAGAAAAAAAAAGGAAGAAATCCTCAGAGGTGTACCCAGATGCTTGCATTTCAGTTAACTCCAGATGAAGTCAAGTTGACACCAAGACACACGTGTCATTTGAATACAGTGATTCTCAACCTTCCTAATGCCACAGCCCATTAAGAGTTCCTCATGTTGTGGTGACTGCCATCCATACAATTATCTTACTGCTACATTATAACTGTTATTTTGCTACTATTATGAATTGTAATGTAAATATTTTTGGAGCTAGAGATTTGCCAATGTGGTCAAGAATCACAGATTGAGAACCACTGTCCTAATGCTACATAAAAATGGGATTTTGTGGGCTAAAAACCTATGTCTGGATGAGAGGATCCTTTAACTAGCTTAGTGGTAGGCTATCAATGGTTACTTAGGAAGATTAAACTTCTACAATAGTCATATCAAAAATGACACAAAATAACAAAGTATATGGACCCAAAATTACATACACTGATCCATCAGTATATGCAAGACATGATAATACATGGCTCATTTAGATTCTCATTGAACATATACAAGTAGCATTTAAACTCTAAACTCAACACCATAATTGTACTTTATATATAGGAATGATATTAAATCTGTTGGGTATCTTGTTTAATACATAAAAGTGTTCTGGTGTCAAAGAAAGCAAGAACATAGGTTTGGGATGTTGTTGTGCACAAATTTTCTCCAAGATAAGGTTTTCCATCCAGCATGGAAGTTCCTTAAGCACCAGAAGTCAACAGCTCACAAGTATTAGGAGAACCCTGAAAGTAACCACATACTCTAGGTTCCTCCTCCACAAGATTATATAAACAGTGAAACTGCTGAGTGACAGTTCCAGACAAGCTGAGCTTCCTAGAAGAGGCTCAGACCAACTGAGCCCCCTGGAAAGGGCACTCACCAGCCTGTTGAGCTGCCTGCAGGCTGTGCAGTGTACTTCAGCCTTCTAGAAGAGGCACTCCACCCTCACCTGCCCTCCAGAGCTAGGTTGAAAACAAATTAGTGTGGTATTCATACTTCTAGTGAGGTCTGTCTCTTTTTGGTGCTCTAGACTCCATCTTCTCTTGCCTATCAATGGGTGTTTTCTTAATGTTTATCACATTGCTGCCATCACTGGATTTTTCTTCTCTTCTGATTAATCATGGGAATATAGATGTCTTTATTTTATCCTTTCTTAAAATTTTGTCTCATTATGACATTTTAAGGTAGCAGTATGATTGTACTAGCATCATTGTTCTCTTTCCTCCCCCTGGAGCCCTTCCTCCCTGTAAATAATCTTTATTTCATTGCATATATGTACATATGCATATGTTTATATATATACATCACTTCCATATATGAAAGATAATGTGCTACATTTAATCTTTCCTCCATTATCACTCTTATTTCTCCCTACTTCCTCTTCAAATATATTCCTCTCTTACATGGTCTACCTATACTTAAATGTCTCCTAACTTGTCAAAATCAAGAGTAATATATATATATATAATATATAATATTTTTGATTATCACAACTACAAAAATGAATAAAACTGGTATGTATTTATGCTCAACTTTTTAGGATTTAATATATGTATATAATAAATCAAATAATCTCCTGTATTACCCTCCAACTACACCCACAAAGCCCCCTTCTAACTGCATGTGTTCTTTTTCTGCCTCTTCTTTTTTCCTTTTCTTCCTTCCTTTCCTTCTTGCTTCTTTCCTTCTTTTCTTCTTTCCCCTCTTCTTCTTTCTTCCTTCTCCTTCTCTTCTCCGTCCTCTATGTCCTTTTTCATATTCTTCAACAATTCACTAAATCCAATTGGTACTATCTATATGTTTATGAATGTGTGGCCTTCTACTTGAGCATATGAAACCTACCAAAGACACATCCTCAATGAAGAATGATTCTTCCTACCCAATAGATGTCAACTTCTAATAGTTCATCAGTAAGGACTCCTCTTCTTACTGATGCCCTTCCCTCCCTGAGTAGTCACAGGTTTTTTGTGGCATACATATGTACATAGATGTATGCATATAAACATAATATCCACATATGAGAGATAACATGCTAAATTAATCTTGCTTCCATTATTCTCTCATCTTTATTTGCTTCATCTGCTTAAAACTGTTCTTCCCTAATTTTGTGTCCTTATTTTTAACATCTCATAGTTTTTAAGTCAAGAATAATATGTATAGTCTTTTAATTTTATTTCTAATATATTTCATGTAAAAATATATGTATTATATAGCATACAAATTATAAATTTTATAATATAGGAAATGAACATATACCTGTGTAAATATATATTTAAAACATAAAATAGATATTCTTATATTTCTGATGACCTAGTGATTGTCTTTCCCATTTATGCTGGACTTTTTTCTAGCTTAGTTGTATAGGTCTTGTTCAGATGTACCAGGCTTGGCATATCCAGAACCATGCACTTCTAAGCACTCCATTCTCTGACACTTACTTCTGCCTCCTCTTGTGAGATGTTTCCTATCTTGTATACTAATATTATTAAAAATAAAAAGTAAGAATTTAATTTGGAAAAAAGAATACATACATCCTGGAACCTTAAAATACCATAAAATCAAAGTGAAAAAATTAGTAATGGTGATATTTAGATTCAGATTGAGATGATGTATAAATTTATTATTTCAAAAATATGTTGGTTGTTATTATTAGCTGAGAGGAATTAATGCTACGCAAGAAGAATAAAGGCAATTCCAAAAGCAACAGGAAAAAAAACGGTCTCTTAGAAAACTTAAGTGAAGCTGAGTAATACTCTTTTACTACTCTTTTTGTGTGGTTTTTACGAGACAGGGTTTCTCTGTATTGTTTTGGAGGCTTTCGGTCCAGCCTGGCCTCAAACTCACAGAGATCCGCCTGCCTCTGTCTCCCTAGTGCTTGGATTAAAGGCATGCGCCACCACCACCTGGCTCTTTTTATTACTCTTAATTGGAACCTGCTACATCAAGGATTTTGTCAAGTTCATTATGGGAAGCAACTTTGTCAGCGTTACTAAATTTCTTCTCACCATAAAACCAATATCAATATATATGTGACTTCTTCTACCAGCACTGTTCAAGAGGGATGCTCACTTTGTGTCTGACACAGCGTCTACTCTTGGATACTCTAAGGTCACACCTACAGGTTGTCTTCCATATCCTCAACTCCCAGGACTGAGTATCTTTTCTGTATCCTGTTACATTGAAGGGGATGTGGCACTGCTGTGCAGCATCATATCATCTCTCATTATTATGCCTGTATGAAATTTGTTGAGGCTTTTCCTTCTGAATGCTGTGCTAGAGCTAATGGCTCTATTTTATATGTTCAGTCATAGACTGCCCCAATTTTTGCATCTAATTGCCCTCTTTTTATATCAAATAAAACATCTAGTAAGGGTTTCACATATGCAAAACTTAGTTTCTCATTTCCATTTTTTCATACCACAAGCTCACTTTTATTTCAATAAAGGCCAGTTGTAATTTTAGTCACTCCAAACCAGCTCAAAAGAAAACCAAAATGACAAAATTTTTGAAAACTTGCCCTCAGTTTCTTCTATCCCTTTCACTACTCTAATAAGTTCCTTAGAAAAGTATTCAGCCTAGTTCCAAACTAGATATTCTCAACTTCTCCACACCCTTATGGTCACTGCAGTTCCCCAAATGACCATCTTCTGTCATCTGAGCTATTTAGTCCTCTCTCACTCAGCCTTAGAGTATCCTTGAAATAATAAACAAGATTAATCTCAAAAAGCATACAGACCATCTCTTGTACCTCAATACAGCATCCATATATATTTTCTAATATCTCCTAATCTAATACTCAAAGCATGGTCTGTGAGCTTGTACAATCATCTCAAACTGTGCCTAACCAGAATCTGTTCTTTAACAAACGGCAGGGGTCACTCGAATGTTGAAGAACACTGCTGAGCAGATACACAGTTCATCTTTCCCACAATCATTCTGACTACAGACCCAACTAGTGTACACATTTATGATCTCTTTTAGAGTATGAAGCATAGCAGCCTCACCTCGCTTCATGATGCTTACCTTGGTCTTCATTCTGATAGTTATTTCCTAGGCAAAAGTGTGGCTAATCCTGCACCCAGTAGTTACTTTCTTTCTCAGTTTTTCCTAACTCTCTCCTCTTACTCATCTTTTCAAATCTTTTATAACATGGGCCCCTCCTCACCATGGTGTTAACCACCCCTTTCCACAGCACATATTTTATTCAGGTATCTTATGTACTGCCCATAGATAGTCTCGAAACACTTGGTCTTTTCCTAGCTTCTATTTCTGTTTTTCATTTGTTTGTTTGTTTGGTTGATTGAGTTGGTTTGGTGTCTCAGAATACTTTTATTTCACATGAGTAGTTCTTATAAACTGTGTGTTGAATAACAACACACTGATTCATTGTCTCATGTTCTTCACCTTCTTAAGCTTTCCAATAGTCTAATTGTCAGTTTTGTTCATAGGTGTTAGCACAGGCACACTTCTACCCCTTTCTCTTCTGTGGGAAAAATGACCACATGCCTGAAGCCTTAGACAGGCTCTGCTAGTCTGCTGTCATGATGGGCAACACAGAGGACTGTTGATGTGGCCTAGTGCTCTCAGCAGGAGACTGAATATACAGATAATAGCTGATCCAGAGCTCTGATTGGGTCTTCAGTATCCAAGAAGGATATCTGCAGTCACTCTGCAAGGTAAGCATGGAACAAAATCACAATTAGAAATTTAAGAATTTTTTAAAATTTCCTAAATAATATAAAATTTTAGTTTCTTAGCTTGTACAGTAACAACATGATGATAAATTGAGGGGAATATTATTTGACCAGTATAGTTCTCCCTCTTCCTGAAAATCCCCTGAACCACCTGCAACCAGGTAAAGACAGAGGTAAAATAAGTGCACAAATATAAGGAGTTCTGACTTAATGCCTTTTCTCACATGTTCTGCAACTAAAACAAATGCTATTGACATTCTGTGCTTTCTTATCCTTAAGGTCTAAAACTGGAGAGAATATTTTGCGATTGAGAACACACTGCTCTTCCAGAGGGCCGGTTGATTTCCAACATCCATATGAGAACTTATAGTCCTCTGTGATTCTAGTTGCAGGAGGTCTGATATTCCCTTCTGACCTCCTCAGACACTGCACACAAACTGTACATATTCATACATGCATGCAAAACATCAAACACATAAATAATAAAATAATTTTTGTAAAAATAATTTCTGTAATGTCTGGAAGGACGTAAGTTCATTTTTCACAAAGAGGGCACAGGAGTTCCTTTAATTTTTAAGGAGACCAGTCATAGGAAGAGATTCTTACTGTTTTTGTTAGAGTCGTCTATTGACTCCATTAAAAATAGTCACCATGAAAGGAGTCTCTAAATGAGCAAGGTTTTCATATAAAAAGAGGGAAAATTCCTCTACAGTCACATGGTTAATATTGTAGCAAGAAACTTCTAGATACATGTGTGAAAATGTAGAGCACGTTTGGTGAATTTCTGCAGAGGACAGACACAACAGCAGATGTTTAAGCTATTTGTTTTACATCTTTCTGCTACTTAACTGGAGACCATTGTCCTATGAGCTTCATTCTACTCCATTTCTTCAGAGCAGCAAAAGACATCCATAACTTTAAGGTGGTAAATAGGACAGTTTATTCCTAGAAAGGTAAACTTGGTTAAGTTCTTAGAGAATCCCATTTCTTGAAGTGACTTAATTGTATTATAAATCTTTTTAGAGACCAGGAGGTTTGTGATAGTACATTCTAGCATGAAAATTAAGGTGCACACATTTCTATCAGGACTTTCTCATTTGTTTAAAAAAACTTTAAAAACTATAATAGCTAAAAGAAGAATCTGCCACAAAAATGTAAGTAAACAGACAAGGTGAAAACGTCATTTCCAGTGAGCTATGTATGTACCCTCATTTCTACTATGAAGCTATGGGAAGTGTTTATTTTATGACACTATGTAGTAAACTATGTCTGCAGGACTTTCAGATGTCTAGGTAGGTATGTCTGGAAATAATGAACTGAATTACACAACCAACAAATTTAATTAAGAAAGTAAGCAGAAGATTTGTGTTTCCTGACATAGTTCTGGAAATTGCACTGCTCCTCAGTTTTATCACAGATCGTTCTAATTGTGCTATTAATAATTAATTTTGTTCAAGGGAAGTGCAGAGTTGTAGAGGTGCTGCCACTGCCCTGTATGTCATGGGATACACAGTGAGGTGACCCATGGCATGGTAAGCCCCACAGCCTGAAGACTTTGGAACTGTTCTAGTCACAACTCGTCCTTGACACTCAAGGCAGAGCCTTGCTCGCAGATAAAGAAGAGTGGATACTTTTAAGTAAATTAACTAATTATTATCATATTGTAAGTATGGAATATTTCCTTTTGATCATCATTATATACAATTTATCTATATATTAACCTGTCATTTAAATGTGGATAAGACCAGGTCACACAGGCAAATGATAATAAAAATGAAAGGAATTAAAACTCAGCTATCTTTTGATATTACTTCCATATAATGTTTCTGAGGAATCATGATGTAAAAAAGCCACAATGTGATTTTAAAAAATGGAAAGAAACTTCTGTAATTTTATGTCATTGAAGTATAAGTTCAGATAGGTAATATCTTCAGAGAGTGTAAAGTCCAATCGCATGCATTCTGGATGCAACTTGTCAAACACCCAGATGACCTGAGTAAAGACAGCACCGTTTCCATTCTTTGTGTGTGTATTGTTTGCATCTGAGAAGAATTTGCATTCTGTGGGGACATTTTGGAATACAAAAAAAGATAGCACCATCTATAAAATGGGCAATTGTGTTTGCCAGAGAGAACTTCCATGGGAAGACAATCTTGGAGCACCTGTGATGCTTGGCAGAAAATCTGTTTGGCTGCTTTCTTGAAAGAAAGGCTACATGGGTCATTATGACTCATGGCTTTGATGCAGGAGTACAGTGTCAGAAGACACAGTGCCAAAAATTCTGAATGGAGCTTCATCTACCATCATGGAACAGCAATCTATCAGAGCCAAGATAGAAATCACTCTTCAATACTGAAATAGAGTATATTCTCGTTTAGTAAACACCATACAAATGAAATCTAAATGCTTGATAGCTTAATTTGGGAAAATGGTTTTACCTTTTTTCTTTCTCTTCTCTTCTCTTTCCCAGTTCTATGCTTTGCAGGATAAATAAAAGCCTACTTGACAAATTTCTAGGCTAAGGGATTTAAATGTTATAATTAAGACAAATCTTTGAATTGCAGACATTGCTAAAAACAAAACAAGTCAACACATCCTTGAAACTCTCAGCATACCAAGCCAGAAGCAGCACAGTCAAGTTATCAGCAAAGTAAACTTTGAACACTGCCACCAGTTTACCAACACAAGAAACCAGGAGCATCACAATCAAGTTATCAACACAATAAACACAGAGCATGTGAGCCCAGTTACCAAGACAATAAACTAGGAGCATCATAACCAAGTTACCAACAAAATAAACCAGGAGCATCTGAGCCCAGTAACCAATGATAATAAACCAGTAGCATCACAATCCAGTCATCAGCACAATAAACTATGAGCATCAACACCCATTTATCAGCGGGATAAATCTTGTGCATCACAGCCTATTTACTAGAACAATGAGCCCTGACTACAACACCAAGTTACAAGTTTGAACCAATAGTTGAAATCTGACACCTACTAGAAGTATGCAAATAGTCCCAGAATCTTGCTTCCAAATCTGTACTGAATGTGATAGTCTTACCAATCACCCTGTAGGGAACAACCTACAAACCCCCAAAAATAAGTTTTTCAGGAACCATAGTTCTGATCATTTTAAATGTGAAATCTGACTTTGTGATAATTTCTCTTTGATGTCACAGAAAGCATGGGAGACTTTGGCATAAATGAAATCACAACAATTTATTTTCTTGTGAAGATCTCAAGGCAAGCATTTCCTGAGACTTCCCTTGACAATGCAGATGGACTTGTGTTACTTGACAATGCTCATGTAACTTTGCAGTGGTTAGTCTTAGTTATAACGTGTTATAAAAGAACAAGAAAGCTAGACATTCATAAATGTGTTGTTTCTGTGGCTCTCCCTCTACCACTCCTTGCTGGGCCTGGAAAATCTTTTCCCTTTTGCTCTTAAACACCAGACCTCATGAGCCTCTGGCCTTTGGTTCTGGCTTCCATCAACTTTATATGTGAGATTTGGAGGTACAGCATCTATTTTCCTGGTTCTGATGCTGTTAGATTTGGAATCAGCCATGCCACCAACATCCTTGGGTTTCCACATATTATCAGACACATCAATGAATTCCTTACCTTTTTTAACACAAGATTCCATTTTTATTTGTAATATACCTTCTCTCTGTCTTCAAGCAATCATCTATTTATTGCCTATCTATCTCCATTTACATGACATACTGTGACTGATTTGGGAACTAAAATAAATTCCTTGTCTGTTAATTCATTCTTGTCACGTTGTTTTATCACAGCAATAGCAAACAAAACAACATAAAAGTTTTAATATTCCTAATTGACTGGTCACTCTAGGATGACTCTCAGTCCTGATCACTGGCTTCCTCCAGAAAAATAATCTTGAGCCTCCACAGAAAAAAGCCAGGTTTCTCCCCACATGTGATTTATAATCTATACACCTGTAGATCTCATATGGCTTTGATTTATTCTTTGCAGATAGAAGTTATCTTAATTCTACTACAAATCCATGAAGTAACATGTATTTGTAGAACTAATCTTTCTCCCTTTTGTCCAGCTGACTCACAGTCAAAATGACTGGTGTCGTGGAGGCAACCCTGAAGGTTCTCCTATACTAACCAGAGGGAGGTCATACCACTCACACACCAGTGTCCCTAAGAGCCCAAGAGTAGGTATGTCATGTTAGCCTCATCACATTAGGATGGATATAGCAATGAAAACTGAACACTGTCCTGAAGTTCCAGGTGATTGATGTAACCAATTAGCAGGTGCCCTAATTAACCCACTGACCTTTTCTCAGTAATGGTATACAGTAAAAATATATTGTACAATTTTTCTTGAATTAATTTTACTTCATTTGATTTGGAAAGCCTCACAGCATTCATTGATTATCATAAATATCCTTTACCCCTCAAATACAGAATGATTTCTTTTCTCACATATCTATACAAATTTTTCATTGCTTTTCTTCCACAATCCACCTTAATAATGGCTAGAAGTACTCTCACCTCTCCCCAATATTGTTTTAGGGACTTGTTCTGTAGTTATGGATATAGAAATTAGCAAGAAAAGCATGAAGGTTTTTAAGTACCTGTTGTTAAAAAAAAACAAAAAAATGAGAGGTTGGAAGACATCCTGGAAAATAAAAATGGTATTTTTGTCTTAAATATTTAAAAATATGCTAGTTTTAAATCATTTTCTTTTTCATTTTCTTTTTTCCAAGACAGAGTTTCTCTGTATTGTTTTGGAGGCTGTCCTGGAACTAGCTCTGTAGATCAGGCTGGCCTTGAACTCATAGAGATCTGTCTGCCTCTACCTCCTGAGTGCTGGGATTAAAGGCATGTGCCACTAATGCCTGGCTTCCTATTATTTTTCAATGGATCCAAAAATGTTATGAAAAGACTAGACTTTCATTTATCAAGCACTCAATTTCCCAATTGTTAGTACTTTACCAAACTAAAGCAAGGAATGAATTACTTTTTATTAATTTTCCTCATGTAAATTCTTCATTTCCATGACTGATTCTCATACTTTCAGTATGTGCAATTGCCTTAATTTAAAAGTTCGTTGGATGCCATTATTTGGAAGTACAGTTAATATTTGTCATTGAGTGACTTAAAAATGCTAGTGATCTAGAGGAATGACACCAACTAGCAAGCTAAGTAATAGTGGAGAGACCACCTTGAATGCCCATTCCTGATAATGAACTTGATGTCTATAGCCATCCTAGAACCTTCATCCAGTGACTGATGGAAGCAGAAGCAAACACCCACAGTTAGACACTGAACTGAACCCATGGAACCCAGTGACAGAGAGAGAGGAGCAACAAGCAAATTGGCAAAGATTGGGCTGACCAAACCAGCAGAGACAGCTGATCTGAACAAGGGGGAGCTCTTGGACCCCAAACCGACAGCTGGGAGGCCAGCATGGGACTGATCCAGACCCCCTGAGTGTGAGAGTCATTGAGGAGGCCTGGGCAACTATGGGGCCCTGGGCAGTAGATCAGTGTTTAACCCTCGCATACAAACGGACTTTGTGTGTCCATGGCACAAGGAGGGATGCTCTCTCAGCCTGGACTCCTGGGGAGTGCCTGGACCCTACCCTGAGTGAAACGTCAGACTCTGGATATCCCCTGTGTGGAGGGAAGTGGGGATGGGGTGGGAGGCTGGGGGGAATGGTGGGGGGCTACGGGAGGAAGGGAGGGCGAGGCAACTGGGATTGATATGAGGAGCGAGCTATTTAAAATTAAATTAATAAAAAAACCTTTAAAAATGCTAATTTTTCAGACCATTTATTGGAGTACATTGTTACCAGTTTTTATAGATGGTGACACTGAGGCTCCATAGATAAGTTGAACATTATACTAAAGTCCACATAAAAATACCAGGGGCAGGCTTGTGATAGTAGATCTCAGCCCTAACACTCAGATGTTGGACTGCCTCCAAAAATGCCTTCCATCTCTGGAAGAATTAAGAATTGATTGAGTGCCTCTCTGGAATTACATTAAATTGCATGCATGCGTCCTTGCATTCTTTTGAAACCTATCATCTAAAATCAACTCCCCAGAGGAAAAGAGAGAAGTCCAGGAAGAAAGATGATTCTGTTTAACAATTATGAGTGGACATAAAGAACATCAGGCAGAAGGAACAGTAGAAGTTGAGGCATTTTTCCATTGTTCCTAATGGTCCCAAGTGGAGGCAAGAATGTGATAGTATTCCTTAGGCTTAAAAACTGCTTAACAATATTTTGTCAGGCTGGTTCTGGATCCAGGATGGATTCCATACTTGTCACCCTGCTTTTATGAATTGTAATGCTCCTAATTAGGATCCAGACTCAAGACAGGCTGTGAGAATTTAATCATCCATTTCTGATGTTCTGGGTCAACTGTAATTCTTAAATAGAAACATCCCGAGGAGTTGTACATTGCTGCAACTTATAGCCATGCCTTACTTTTTACATGAGGTGATTTCACAGGAAGTCTAACCAATGTTCCATGTGTCTATCAAGTTACATAAAAGCCAGACTGTTTAGACTGAGTTCATATTTCATATTTTTTCTAAACTTAACAATATCTGTCACAGTGTTACTTTTCTGTGAAAGAAAGAAAACCTTGAAATATTAACAACTGCATTTTGTTCCAGGATTCAAATTGTCCAGAAGGCAAGACTGCCTCAAATACCATCTCCATAGAGCAGTTTATGGCAAAGAGAAAGGCTTTGCCCTTTCTAGGATGGGGTATCATGCACACCAGTCATTTCTCCCTTGCTGTTCCTTGGCAAATATCTTAATGACTATTTCACTCATATTAATGAAAGGCTATCTGTACAGACTCTGTAAAACATCCACACTAAAGTTAAAGACCCTCTGAGCATTTGCAAAGCTGGAATGGCATTTACAGAACAAAGCAGAGATGAGCCACAGGCATCCTTAATAAAGATGTTGCTTGTATCTGCTGAATGGTTTTGCTTACACAGCTTTATAGATGGTTCTTGTCTTGAGGGTACTAAACCCATTCAAACGGTCTATTTTTCTTCTAATTGGTTTTCTGCCACTGGCTTATTAGCAGGCTTCACCCCCCACACACACACAAACTCTCCTCCTTCCTTTTGGTATTTACCTCTATCCCTGCATGTCCATCTGCCTCAGGATGTAGGCAAGTCAGGTTTGCTAAAAACTAGGCAGAAATGTGCTCATCTTACCTCCTTGAAATATTCATAAGCTTTATCATGTTTCACCTTCCATTTTCTTTGATACTCAGCACTTTCTACAAAGAATGTAATGGGGGACAGAGGGGTGAAGATCAAAGGGGGTGCTTATCTCCAGCGACATGTCCAAACAGGCACTTGCCCCTCTCTAATATGCTCATATAATTTGTTCCAAAGCCCAAGCCTGGAAGGAAAGCATCTTGAGGAAGTTTCTTTTCATGGGCTGAGCCATCTGCTAATGCAAGGCTGTACCAGCAATTTACAAGTAATGGTTTACAGCTGTGAACCCTGGCTTCTGCACTGTTTTGGTCATTTAGTAATTACAACAGTTTCATTAACATTTAAAGGGAATAGTGTGCTCAATATCAATTAGGGGCTATCTGCAACTGCGTAGCACCATTTTCATATTTGCATGTGACATTTAATATTCTGCACATAAATTCTTGGTCCTGGAAATGCATTGCCACAGAAGGTCAAAATTAATCCAGAGCCTATTTCTACCTAACTCTACTAAGCTTTGGGAAATATTTCTGCAGAGAACCGGATCATAAAAGGTTATGCTGGGGACATTTCTACACATCTGAACATTTAGGGACTTTTTCTCACCACTAAAGTTAAGGTTAAAGAGTTTTCCCAGTGCTCTACTGTGTTCTGGGTGGCTCCAATCTCATCTCATTCAGATCTGAATACATTAAGTAGAATGATTACACATATTAGTTGCCAACCTTACACACCCACTGTCAGACTTGAATGCCTAATATTTTGAGGAGACTGTGGATTTGAACACTTAATAAATAGAACCAGAATATGCAAAAAAAATCTAAAACCATTTTCATCTGAAAGTAAGTCTTGGGACCCATGTAAATGTTTGGGCAAGGTTGGTATCCCAGATGTAACCAAAGTCTTTGCTGATGACCTGGACACCACGGGCTGAGAATTTTTCAAGAATTTGGTGGGAAACTTTGGTAAAGAACTGAATAAGAAAGGTGAACTGTCCTGATGGTAGGGATTCAGGAGCTCATGTCGGGAGAGAACAGGCTCAAAAGGGCAAGTTGCAAAAGGTTCAATAGGAATGGGCTGAGAACAGAAGCATGGGACTTTTCACTGCTGACCCTGAGGGGCTGACCCTGACAGGAGGTAAGTTAGACACAACACCCCTCTATCCTGAAGGCAGAAGGAGGGAAAATATCACCAAGTATAGAAAGACTGAAGAGGGCATTGAAAGGGATGTTTCTGGCTCAGTGCAACTGGATTTCGTGAAGATGTGAAACTATGACTTACCTGCTATGGCAGAGTCCAAACATTGATGTGTTCTAACAGGTATTCTGTTTGAAATTAGTCACAATGCTGTGTAGACCAAGTAGATGGTTACTTAATGTGTTAGGATAAAGTAAAAAATTAGCTGAAAATTTCTGCATGACCTATGGCATTGTTTTCTGAAAAGAAGATACACACACGCGTGCACACACACACACACACACACACACACACACATGATCAAGGTGGGGGGATAGAAAGGGAGGGAGGGAGAGTGCTAAGGGAACAAATGGCAGCATGGCATGTAAAACTCTATCATTAATTTTATCTCAGTTGGTATGGTGTACACTGAAAATTTTGAAGGAGTGATTGTCCACAAATTAACTCAGGGTCCATTCCTTGAGCTATCCTGAGTTGTTCAATAGGGAAATGTTCTAAACAGATCATTTTAACTTTATTTGATAAGGTGCCCATCATCTAGTAAAAATGGTGGTACAGCATGGCTTTAATTCCAGCACTTGGTGCCTCACTACTCACTTCCTCTAAGCAGATATTACTTTCTAACTTTTCCACCTTTCTTTGTAGTCTATTAGGTTCTTAATCCAAAAATGGATTAATTCACTGATAAGGTTTAGGATTTCAAAATCCTATCCTTCATAAAGATCCCAACTCTGTATAGTGCTTCAATAGGGACAAAACGTTTGTCACATGAACCTTTGGTAACATTCAAGATGCAAACAATAACACCAAACAGAAAGGAAAAGGAAAAATAAAAAGAAAAGAATGATGACAAATGTTCCTTGTGAAGTTTACTTTCTATCATACAGGATCTCTGATGAACTATATTGTGGCCTAATGGCCCATTTCTCAGTTTACCCACTAGTACCTTACCCAATAGAAGGTCAATGGTTGGTTCCCCTCTGGAAAGATGAAGATGGAGTGCCTTTATGGGTATGAGAAAGGATTCTATTTTCATAATACGTCAGAATGGGCACATTTTAAAGAAGAAAGAGTGCTTGTGCTTTGCAGTTCTGGGGATGAAGGTTATGATACCTTGTGGTGATGGCATTCATGATGCTGGTGCAGGGCATCATGTGCTAAGTGGCACGGGGTGTGCATGTTTCGCCTTTGCTCTTTTATGAGATTTAACTCAGATGTCTCACATTATATAGATAAATTTATTCTGAGAATAATGCCCTCAGTGGCCTAAGAACCACTCAGTGGGTTATAGCTTTTAAAGATACACACTACCTGAGGACACTAGTGTCCAGCATATCAAACCTTGGGGCACAAACAACATCTTAATCTTAGTCAGATGTTTGTTTTGTTTTGTCAGATATTAAATTATTTTTTAAAATGGCAAAATGACACTATATAATATTTGTACTATTAATAAATGGGTCAGGATGGGCTTGACTTAGTTGTGATGACAATTCTGCAAATTTCAGGGACACACACAGTAAATGTACTGTGTGTGATTATCAAAGCTCTTTGTTCATCCTGGACAGTCACTTCCAATAGTTACTGTGGATTCACTAACCATTTGACTCCTACATCTCATCTGAAAGCTCTTTCCATAGTCAACAACAAAGGGGAAGAAAGATCCAGAGTTCCAACAGTAATATCTAAGGATTTTAGATCCAAGTGTTGACGTTTACTAATATAAAAACCAAACAAATCCAATGGTCAAGCTTGAGAGGGACCATCTTCCAAGACTGATAACTTTTAAACTCACCTTCAGATGTATAGAGTTCTGGAAATATTAACAAATAGCTGTAATCCGGACAGAAACTTGTTGAACATGTTTGTGGATGTCTACTGTCAGACAAGTAGGAAAGTAAAGCTTCACAGTAGAAATGTCTATTCAAATCCACATGCCCTTTTACTAAAATCGGAGACTCCTCATGGAAAAGGCAAATTTTCATTTTACTTTTTACAACCTTGAAGACACAGGCATTTATTTTTTTAGAGGCAGCTGAGAAATGGAATGAACACTTAATCTAGTTCTCACAATATTGATGAGGGTGGCTGATTGTTTCCTCGTGATTATAAGAGTTAGCAGTTACATTTGTCTTGATGCAGATCAATTTTGATAACACTTGGGGCCAAGTTTTCATTAAATAAAGTCAATAATGGTGATACAGGTCTATATGAAATAGAAAACAAGAGTTGTTGCACATTATGTTGGGTCACACAATACTTTCAAGCAGTATTTATGAGAAAACAGATAATCAAAATGGCTAGAAATAGCAAAACTTAAAAAAACATCTCAAGGGTGAAACCTTTTCTTATCTAATACTTCTGCTTCTAGTTCATTGTTATCCTTTGTTGCCTACAACCTTTGGGGAAAGCAACATCTGATGATTTAGGCAGTTCATCCCTGATTTGTCCTACAATTTGTTAGATAAGCAGAACTCAACCAGAATGTCTTTCTAAAATATGAGCATCGGGTACCAGTGTGATACTTGGATTTAAAACAGCCTTAAAGAGTCAGAGATGGTGGGAATGCAACTCATGTGTGACACAAGCAGGAAGAGGACATAGGTAAGAAGCAAAGTGAAAGAAGCAAATCCCTGTGATTCAAGGAAGCTACAACCATAGGGACAGCACAATAATCCAAACCTTCTCCCTGAGGGTGAATAATAAGTTACTGTTTTTTGCTTATAGAGCTACCTGCAGCATCTCCTTCTGTGTATAATTTGTGGTTTGGCATGTCCTTGTAGATAGAGGCATGAAAATAATCATGCTTAGGCATGCATTGGACATAAGTGCAGTGAAAGGAAATCTATCAATATAAAAGAAAAATATTATTTTGCATCTCTTGAATGATGATGCATAAAAATGCTTAAAATTATGGGCTGCATGGCTCTTTCATGCACAAAGTCATCTAACACCTCATTATCTATTAGGGTAACAATCTTCCTCATAGCCATCCCTGGGGATCAGCCTCTCTTTCTTCATTGACTCAGGATTCAGGAGTCACATGTTGACTCCAGCCTGCTCTCATGCTGTTGAATTTACTTTGCATTTCTCTCACTTTTAATCAATCCATAATTTTCCTTCTGTTTCTCTGTCTTGTGCAGTCAGGTACCTAGAAATCATGTCACAGACGAATCCCAACACCAGCCCTGGTGACAAAGAAACAAGTGGAAATGGTAGAGACTGCAGTGTGTAACAGGGTTGGCATTTCCTCAGCCATGGAAATAAGCTGCATGGTGTTTCTTGAGCTTTGATACTTGTGAGAATTACAAAAATACCTTTTTTAAAAAAAACTTGAAAACAGGTTTCTGCTGCTATTGTTATACTAAAAGGAATGCTACATCAAGTTCAAATTGAAGATCAGTTAGCATGTAATAATTTATAGCAAATGTGCTCAAAGCCTGCTTATAAAAAGCAACTTTATGAATCTCTTTATATTTGCTCACTTCTGTGCATATACAGTGACTCCTGTGGTGAATGTAGGGTACCTCTTGCCTAGTCACAGCTGTATTAGTGATAATAGACAAAAATATGTTGATCACTTACTCTAAGTGTTGGAAATGTTACTTGAACTATCTCATTTTACCTTTTCTCAAATTTGAGAAGCAGAAACTCTTCTCAGTTTGCCCTTTGCATGTAGAATCTAGGCACCTAGACAGTGTAAACACATACAGGTTCATGCAGGTTACAAGTGGTGGAAGTAAGAACTGAAAACACAAGCAGACATAGGTGTCTCCACTCATCATTAGATCGTGGAGAACCTGCTGGTGAAGTGTAAGCCTTCTAACCACATCAGCTTTTTCAGCTCTTTGGTGTTTCCAGGGCTGCACTGGAAAGCACTGTTTTGTGAATCATAATGTTTGTCACTAAATTGTAACATTCATTCTATATCATATTTTATCAATAAAATTCATTTATAAGCAGAAGCTTCTTTCTCTTTAAGCAATGCAATATGGGTTGAATGTATATCACCTAGTTTTATGAGGACAACCCAGAATTAGGCCTATTATAATAAGAAATAACAAATTGTATTATTTAGTAAATATTTTAAACTCTCACTTATAAAGTAATTTATTCTTTTGTATATTACTATAATAATATTTGAACTGCTCTTCTATAAATGTTTACATTGAGGGAGACTGAAACAAAATATGGAGGGTAATGCTGTATCTTTCACTTAACACTTAATTTGCTGGTGATTTTGGCATATGATTACAGTTGCTCCCATAAAGCAACAACATGTCATCCCACATGCCAACACCATCAATTCCTCCTGTTAGCAGTTGATTACCCTAGTATGGACTTTAAAATTTATGTTTAAACAAATGTGTGGATGTTATAACTCCTGAGAATACTGTCAATTATGCATACTGAGGAATTCCCTTAGAACTAAGATCAGGGCAAGGACCAGGCTTGCATACTTGTCTTCTGGGATAATCAGCTGGGGAAGTCACGAACAATGGTGGAAGAAGGAAAAAAGAAGGGTTTGAAGGAATTTCTATAAACTTTCTTATTTCATTGACATTTTTGTTCTCAATAATCATGCCTGTATTATTGAGAGTGTGTTGTTAGGATTAAAGTTTGGTGATTTAAAAGATTCCTAGCTGTAAAGAGAAGCCACAATCAGGTGCATACAATTGGATCAGGTAGCTGTTTATGTGAGTTAATTTCCCATTACTATCATGAAGTAATTACTTTATGAAGAAGCAAACTGATTATTGGCTCATAGCTCAGGCATTTCTAGTCCAAGACCACAGCCACACTGTTATACTCAGCTGGGCTGAATGGATGCTCATTGTGAGAGGTGTGTCAAAACAAATTCTTCACCTTCTTCTGGGAAGCAGAGGAATAAGAGGCAGAGATGAGGCTTAATGATCTGTTAAGAGAATTTCCCAGCTGACTGAGGACTTCCCAAAAGATCGTAATAGTTAAAGGCTCTATGTGTCTCCAATAGTGCCATCTTTCCTATAGACTGTGGCTATCCTTGTATCTGTGCAGGGCATCATCTGTTTTTAAATCAAATCACTCTGCCATGACCTCTAACGTTCACTCACATTTCTAGGTAAAGAACACATTAATTCTTTCACAAAACTCTTTAAAATACTTACTGGTCCAACATTTCTCAAATGTATAAGTCCAAGTCTTCTCAGACACTAACATGAAACACACTCATACAGCACTGCCCCCAAAATGAGAAAGAAGTAACATATTTCCAAAATACAATGGTGATGAAGGCATGGGATATACACTCCAAAAGAAGAAATAAGAAAATAGGAAATGGGTTAACCCCAAAGCAAGATCAAAACTCTGGAACAGCCATGAAATCCTGAAGTTCGGCATAGCACACTAGGGACACTGTGGTAGAAGGGAGGCTCTCGTTGGCGTTGGGTGGCCTTGGCCATGCAATTCTGTGTGGCACAGCATTGCCTGGAATTTCTTTGTCCCTGAAATCTGTTCCAGATCTTCCTATCTTCTTTACAGCTTTGCCTACACTCCCACAGCACTGGTGTGTAATACCCTGGAGGCCAACTTACACAAACTCAATCCTTACAATATACATTTGTTTGTTTGCTTATTTGTTTTTGAAATCACAATAAATGGGGCTATGGACCTATAGCTTTTGTATTCTTCATGTTTGTCAAACAAACATCAGATGGAATATGAAATCTACCATTGATGTGACAGATCTGAATTGACTTGAGTCACATCTTCATAGGCCTTTGAATGCCCTGTTGCTGAAAAGATGGGAACAAAGCAACACAATCTTTAATACATGACATTTTTCATGAACTATTCATTTCTTGGAAAGTTTAGAAACTAATTTCTGCTAGGACTTTGTTGATTCTCCATGGGAGCCCTCACCCTCTCTGAGGAGTGGATGGGGGGTGAGGTGGAGAAATGGGAGATTGGTAGGGAGAGGAAACTGGGATTGCTATGTAAAATAAGATTGTTTTAAGCATAAAAATTGAAAAA